TTGTGCTCATGAGAAAACAATACATAGAACAAAAGGCAGTCATTCATTCAAACAGAAGAAAAGGACTTAAAATCAGGAAGATTTCCTTTTACCATAATTATTCAATCTGTATACCCAGTAAATAATCTGAGAATCTGGACTACATGAAGGAGAAGGTAGTATCAGGATTATGAATGAATTAATGAGGAATTGCATAGATGGCACACCTTGCTTACTTAAAGTGACAAGGACTTAAAGCATTCACTAATGAAGATCTAAGACTACAACCTTCACTACAGATTACACCTCAACACAAAGAAAACAAAAATTCTCACAACCAAACCAATAAACAACATAATGATAAATGGAGAAAAGACTGAAGTTGTCAGGGATTTCATTTTACTTGGACCTACAATAAATGTCCAGTTAAAAAGGCAAGAAATAAAATGATGTATCATGCTGGACAAAACTTCTGTAAAAGACTTCTTTAAGATATTAAAAAGCAAAGATACCACATAGAAGACAAAAATGTGCCTGACCCAAGCCATGGTATTTTCAATCACCTCATATGCACTTGAATGCTAGAAAATGAATAAGGAAGACTGAAGAACTGATGCCTTTGACTTATTGGTTTTGGTGAAGAATATTAAGGATATCATGGATTGCCAGGATAATGTAAAGTTATGACTTGGAAGAAGTACCAAAGTAAGAATGCCCCTTAGAAATGAGTACAGCAAAGCTTTGTCTCATGTTCTCTGGACATGCTCTCACGAAGGACCAGTCCCTGGACAAGGGCATCATGTTGGTAAAGTAGAGGGTCAGCAAAAAAGAGAAAGAACTTCAACAAGATGGGTAGACATGGTGGCTGCAACAATGGGCGATGATTGGGAGGAGGGCACAGGACCAGGCAGTGTTTCACTTTACTATGCACAGAGTCCCAATGAGTCAGTAGTGACTCAATGGCACCTAGTAACAACAACAGTAACAAGTTTATAGCTATTTTTCTTCAAAAGTGAAAATCATATCAGAGTTTCTGTAGCACCAAGAGACTGGTACAGCATAAGAGTTATAAACAAAGCATGGACTTTAGAATCAAAATGAATCCCAGGCATTCAGCACTTCATATTTGTGTGAGCTCAGTGAACTCATCTATGAAATGGGAATAATAATAGTGTCATGTCATTGATTGGGTTGCTGCATTGATTAAATTAGATAAGTGCTTAACACATAGTTCTTGGGGAAAACGTTTGCTAATTTAGTTTTAGCTGCTATTAATTTTGCTTCCTTATGTACACATAATCTCACTCATAATTGGTTTTCAATAAATATGTTGTGACTGAATTAATGAATGAATTATGAGAAAATGTAATTATCTCTTTTCTGCTCTTCTTATGGGTGAAGTGATTTGCAAGGTGCAATAAATTTTCTCCTATTATCAGAATAAATTATAGGGAGTAGAAACCACGCACAAACTTTCCATAAAGCCAAATGTAGGTAGACATAGAGATATAAAAGATGTAAATACACAAAAGTAAATAGCATTTGCTGTAAGTTTCTCTAATAAATATTTTTTCTGGTTGAATTTATCAGATAGATGGATTATTATCTATCTTTTAGAGTTTTTTTTTTTTTTTTTTTTTAATAAGTGGAAAAGAATATTACTACGGGCTTCTGTGCCAAAAAAAAATATTTTTATTCTAATGTCAAGGGACATTCTCTGGACAGGCCAGGACCCTGTGACCAGTGTGTGGGGAAGGGATGTGGGCCTGGAATGTTGTATGTATCCTGCCAGGGAACAATGAAGCAGAGCAGGCAACACCAATGTCCTCAGAATGAATTTAAGACATACCTGGATCAGTTTTTGGCTTAGGATCACCCTGGATTTATTAACTGTGAAATATCTATGAATCTAATGCCTTCACTCTTCTTTCTTCCACTTGTACTATCTGGATTCAAGCTCTTATCACCTCTCATTAGGAGTGCTGTGAAACCTTTTGATGTTGAGTCCCTGTAGCTAATCTCTAGGGCTTCCTCCAACAAGTATCACATTCAAAACCAAATTACATCAACTCAAGCCTCTGCCTCAAATCTTACTACCCACTGTTTGCAAGCTCCTGTGTAATCCCTTACTTTGGCATAAACGTGGTTCCAATTTACCATTCTAGTCTCATCTTCTCACACCCTTCCCCCTAGATGTTGTTGTTGTTGTTGTTATGTGCCATCAAGGCTGACCCGACTCATAGCGACCCTTCCTTGGGTTTCCGAGGCAGTATCACTACGGAAGTAGATTGCCTCATCTTCCTTCTGAGAAGTGCCTGGTGGGTTTGAACCGCCAACCTTCTGGTTAGCAGTCAAACGCCTTAGACATTATATTCTAACTATATTAAACCACTCATAGTTCCTCAAATAGACCATAAAGTTTCAGATACACCCTTGGTTATGTTACTCTTTTATTTTGGAATGCTCTTCTCTACTTCACTGAACTGACATGGGCTAAAAAAAAGGTCATTTTTTTTTGTTTGTTTCTGTAAAGTCTTCAATATTATCTCATTTCCCATTCTTAATGTATCACTTGTTGTGCTAAGAATCCATCTTCCTATCTTTATCTCTGTGTTCCCTATCTAATTTATTGTAGGCTTATAAATCTCTAGCCCTGCTAATTAGTGACCTTCTTAATACTAAACAACAACAACAAAACAAACTCATACCATCGAGTTGATTCTGACTCATGGAAACTCAACAGCTCCTTAGTAGGAGGGGCTCAATTTCATTCTTATTCACATGTCTAGGATATTGCACCCTTTCAGGGTTTTCTAAATGTTTGTTGAATGACTGGAAGAACAAATTTAGATGTAGGGCAAGAAGGTGGATGAAAAAATGATTTTCTTTTCCTCTTTGCTTTTAATAGCAACATGTACTGAAACTGAGCATGGACTATGAATTGAAGATCAATTGCTTGATAGATTCATTTATATACATTTTAAAGCATAATATTTAAAGGGGTATTTCTGGACTCATTTATGTAGGAAAATTGATTTAACATATTCAAAAAAAAAAATTCCAGAAAAAGTAAGTTACATTTTTTTCCTATGTGACTCTTTTAATCACTTCCCATGAATTTCCAACTATTATTTAAAGAATAATTTGCTTCATGCAAAATATAGTATTACAAACAAAATAGGGAGTTTGGGTAATGAAATATCTGAAATTCAATATGATTGTGATTTAAAACCATTCCTAGAACTCTGAGATGATCACCACTGGGGCTATTATGAAGTGTCAACCAGGGCTATGGATTATGATACTAGATATCTGGGAGGATGCCAGATACAATCCATCTCTAGAGCTCAAATGCACAACACAAAGATACTTTACATTGTGGTGAACATTGGCAGTTACCCTACAAGTAGTCCCTGGAATTTCTTACAGGAAAATTGAGGGTTTTTTTTTCGTGGGTATTCACAACAACAACAAAATTAATCAGGAATGAAGTTTTAACACTGTTAAGAAATAAAGTTACTTTATTTTTTTTTTTTTTACCCAGCTTGTATCTATTTCTTTGTAAAGGAGATTTATTGATTAAGGTAATAAACAGAGTACTCAGTAAAATCTTGGGAAACAAAGTAATGTCTTCTTCCATCAGTGCTAGAATTGGAGAGTCAGTTGCTAAACAGAAATCACCATTTTAAAATCCATGGGAATGGAGTCTAAAAACACCTGCTTCTGTACTTCTCTAATTAAAAGCTACTCTTCTAGCAAATGCATTTTTATTAGACAGCTTCACAAGCTTTTTCATGTCCTTTTTTTGAATATCTAGACACTACCAGTTTGTGGTGCACACACTTGTGGGTGAGCGAAGCAAAGGTTAAGTATGTATGACACAGATGAGCCCTGAAGATTAAGTATAAACTGTGAAATGCATATGGATGTTCATGATTTGAACCAATGAACTGTGGCCTGAAATGATGTCACACGAAGTGCAGTGGTAAGTGGAAGGTTAAACCTACTTGCATCTCGGCTCATTAAACGCAGTTAAAGTGCAAATCCCCTCATTCTGACAGTAGTGATCACAAGGGTTCGCTTTCTGGTCACAGCGCTGACTTTTAAACCCCACAGAGCATCTGCAGAATTTCAGTAAAATACAGCTAAATAAAGCGTCTGATTTTTTTTTTTTTTTTAATTTTTTTGGCAAATGTTTCAAATTTATTTCATACAGAAATGGTAACATGAATAAAAATATAAAAATTCTCCCAGGTATGCTCTTTCTTTCTCATACACACTCATCACATTCTACTCTTAAAAGATAGGGAACAGGATGCAGACTTGGATCATATGGGAATGTCTTCCTTCAGTTTGAGCAGCAAAGAAAGAAATTTCAAAATAATGGCCACACGAGGTGAGTAGTTTTATTTCAAACTGTCAATTCTAGACAGGGAATTAAAAATAAATAATAATGAAATTCCAGATTTTCCCAGGAGCAGAGAATCTCCAGTAGTTTCTTTAGGTGTTCAGAAACCCAGATTCAAGGTAATGTATTCCTGAGGAGCCAGGGGCGTAATAGTTGTACATAATACAACACTCTAAGCCTGATATAAACATGAAATAGCATTACACATTTGAAAAGATATCTTAAGTTCTTTTAAAAAGAATGTTCATAGATACCAAAGTATTCATAGAAGATGATTATCTCTGGGTTTCATATATATGAACCAGGCAGTGAAATTAGAACATTCTTCCCCTGCATTTCCAAATCAAAGATCTATGAATGTCTGAAATGGGTATGATGCAAAGAATTGAAAGTGTTCTTCCTCATGAAATCATTAGCAAATTGATGAAGGAGGAGATTTTGTAGCATATGAGTCAATGAAAGGACAATACTTGATCAGATATGTCCATGGAACACTCACTTAAAATGAATCACTAATGCTGATAGTAACTATGAAAGGAGAAAAATACAACAGGGATTCCATGTATACACAAAATCCTACCATGATAGGTCCACAGTGTTAGAAGGTACTCACAGACACACAGGAATATTTGTCTCAGGGTCCAGTTGGCATGTGCCGCCATTGTAACAGTAGCCATCACATAACTGACAGCTAGAAGCGATTTTTCCATTGGTGCAGCTGTAGCAACAAAGAAAAAAAAAATCCCCATTGTTACCAGCATCATTATTGTTGAAAGCTGACACAAACCCTCTGCAGGTGAAAATATGCATTGTAAAGGAATAGTGGAATGGATGGTAACAAGTAAGTTTTCAGGAAGACAGACTTGCTGGAGGTAATTTTTTTTTTTTTAAAGCAGAATGATGACGTAAATTTTTTCATTTGGTAATTTTCAAATTTTTAATCCATTTGCTTGATGTAAAAATTTAATATAAGCAGATCTTTGTGTGAAACAGTGCACCCTGATATCTCACTTACAGTAAAGGGAGATATTAGCATTAAATATCTCATTCAATTTTCATAAAACTAGGGTTTGTTGGCATGTGTGAATTATAAACCATGTGATCAATTATTCTGAAAGAAAAAGCTTGAGTTATTCCTTCTAAAAGAGAGAAAGTTATACAAAGAAATGTCATTAGTTTTAGACTCTACATTTTGAAACAAAGTGTAGAATTATCATGTTATCAGTTTTATCCCACTGTTTGTCTATAAATATTGTAATTCACATCAAACGTTTTTTATTCTAACAAAAAAGAACCAGAGAGTAGTTTCTTGCAAAAATTAAGCAGCAGTAATGGTAGATGACCAATATATAATAAGGCAATAATGTAATGGTACAGGTTTTCTAAAAAAACTTACTGAAATTATTTTAATTTCCAGTCATATTACATGTCTGGGATAAGAATAAACAATATTAAGTATTGTTGCAACCACACCAATGGGTATAGCAATAATAGAAAAAATAGAAATATCTGATTTATAATGTTGATTAAATGAACAAATAAATAGTATTATCAGATTGGACAATAAAAACTATTGAAGCAAAGGAAAAATACACATTACAAATTACTGGGAAAATATTATTTGAAACCATTCCAAAATATTGAAATAATTCCTTTATGGGAGCTATGAGAATAGAATTACATACGCCTCAGCATAAATCAGATTTGCAATAGGCAATTCCAGTAATTCTGATCATGTGATCCTGTTGGTTCTAGGTGCAATGAAGTAAACACTGATATCACAATAAAACTGGGCATAACTTTGACAGAGAAATCAGTCCGTAGCACCATTGATCGGTCATTTGGTCATTTTGGTCATATTCATGGTGGCATAGTGCCTAAGGCATATGACTGCTAACCAGAAGGGTGGTGGCTCAAACCCACCAGTTGCTCCTCAGAAGGAAGATTGGGCAATCTACTACCCTAGTCATATCATGACCAAAATGATTTATGGTAGTAAATCCATTATAGAATAATTCCCAGTAACAGGTAAGATGCCTGAGAACAATTTGTTGCTGATTCTATAATTTATTTATTTACTGACTATTTATTTTACTTCACATGGGTGGTAGCGTTGCTGAAAACACACTGAGATGCATATTGCTTTCTCAGGTTGTTTAATCTGACCAAACCAAAACTAAACTCATTTGCGTGGAGTAGGATTCGACTCATAGCGACCCCTCCTTGGGTTTCTGAATTGGTATCACTATGGAAGTAGATTGCCCAACTTTCCTTCCAAGGAGTAGCTGACGGGTGGGTTTAATTTGAAGACATCTTTAAATTGACATTTCCTTTTGTGATAAATAGGAGCAATGTGTAAACTATACACCAGACATGGGATGTGGGTAGTCTAGAGTTTTCAAGATTTGACAGAAGAATGTCAGTCACAGCCTTTATAACCTATGTTGTTGTTAGCTACAGTTGAGCTGGCCTTGACTCATGGTGACCCATGTGTGTCAGAGTGGAACTGTGCTCCAAAGGGTTTTCCTGTCTGTGATCTTTTGGAAGCAGGTCACCAGGTCACCAGGCCTTTCTCCTGAAGTGCCTCTGGGTGAATTCAAACTGTCAAATTTTCCTTTAGTAGCTAATTGCTGAATCTTTTGCACTACACGGGGACTCCTGTAGAGGCATCCTAACATGGCTGCAAAGTGAGTCAAGTAGGCATTCCATGGAATTGGTGCCTAGTAGGTCAAATGGATCTCATGGACTTTTGCTTGCCCTCCTTGCCAAGAATCCTTACAAATCAAAAAAGCAGAGTCATGCTATTTCTTGTTGCACCAAAGAGACAAAGTCAAAAGGAAAAATTAGCTCATCATACAATAAAGGAATTCACACAAAAATGATAAATATACACCAAAAGTCTGCTTTTAAGAGATTTAAATATATATATATATATATATATATATAAAATTGTTGGTTGCTTTTAAATGTCTCAGGAGTTCTGGTGGCATAGTGCCTAAGTCATATGACTGCTAACCAGAAGGCTGGTGGTTCAAACCCACCAGTTGCTCCTCAGAAGGAAGATTGGGCAATCTACTTCCCTAGTGATACCACCTAGGAAAACCAAGGAGGGGTCACTATGAGTCAGATCTGACTCAACAGCAGTGAGGTATTGTTTTTTTTTTAATGTCTACTTCCAATAGATATAGAAGATTTTGCCTCTTTTTCCTTCTAAGGTTTTGTTTGAACATGCAATTGAAGATATAAGTTTGCAGTGACTTCAAATGTGAAGTACAAATTATACAAATTGTTATAGTATATCAAAGGGTACTGCTCATATTTTTAACATAAAATTTCTGGATAATTTTCTTTTTTTTTTTAGAGCATTTTGTGACACACACACACACACACACACACACACACGAGATATGTGACATATCACTTTCTAAAAGTTAATGAAGTTATTTAGTACACACAAAGAACACTCATAACAACTGATTTAGCAAGGATTTTATTTATGCTATTCAAAATTATGATCAAGATTGTCTTCATCAATATTTAATAAGATTTCAAGAAGAGAGAAGAATACATAATTAGCCATGATTTAAAGATTCTCATTACATTTGATGGAATATCTGCTGTAGTTGACAACTCAAAGGCTGTCCATTAGAAACATAAGTGCCTATTTGCAATCACAAGTATACGTAGTGGCTTAAATTTTCATAATTAAATAAAAATATTTATCTTAACTGTTGCAATTTTGCTTTAAGTATTTCTTCTTAACCTATGAAGCAGAAATTCCAACAGCACTGTAAACATCTCTTTAATGCTAAGGTAGGAGGTATAATAGAAATGAACACTACTTTAATTAAAGATTTTATGAAAACTCAAATAGTTCTGTTTGTATTGACATTTTAAAATATTATATCGCTTATCTGACAAAGCAAATATGATTGCATATTATTTTTTAGAGTTCATCTAGTCATTGTTACCAACTGTTATTTATCCATTCTTATATATTCTTTAGAGTCCATAGTTGTTGCAGATAGTTAATGCACTAGGCAGATATCAAAAGGTTGGAGGTTTAGTGCACACAGAGGTGACGTGGAAGAAAAGCCTGGCAATCTACTTCTGGAAAATCAGCCATTGTAAACTCTATGGACCACAGTTCTACTCACATGGGTTGCCATGAGTTGTCAACTCAACTGCAACTGATAATAGTATATGGATTTTTCCAAAAAGATCCTCTAGAAGAGAAGGACTAAAATGTTGGACCTCAGTTGACTATAGGCTTATGAAGATGTGTTGTTTCTAGGTGTGAGAAGCCATTTTTTCACTGTGCAAAACACAGCATGAGAGTGCCTAACAATCTTGCCCTTCTTTCCTTACACAGGATTTAGCTTTTTCAAAGGAACAGGGTGTGTTTCTCTGCAGGAGCCTTTGTAATATAAACTGTGTGGAATACTGCAGTTTGTGACCTTTCTTAGATTATGGGCCATGATCCCCGGGTGGGTGGAATGGGGTTGTAAGGAAGAATCTACAGCTATTTCCTGATAAGTTGCACTGGACATGAGGAAAAGTGTATATGCACACTAATTGAAATAAAGTTCCGTCACAAATAAAGCTCTGTCATCAATCTCATCACGAAGAACTGATAAGATTAATGAGCAAACATAATTTGGTAGTTTACATGAAAATGTGTTTTGCTTTTATGTACTTACAAAAGACATATATTTATATATTGGTCATATTTTCAACTACTTTACCTAAAACATAATGTGCTTTCAAATGACTCAATTTAAAGGTTTGAGTAAATGTCAGTCATAATGATAACACAAATCATATTTATAATTTTAAAATAAGTGTAAATACAAAATAAAAAAGTGTTGATGCTGTATATAATAAAATTTTATTGGGCCTTGTTTGGCAAAGCAACATAACTCAACGCTGGCACCTTGTCAGTGCAAGCTCAATGAGAGCTGGCCGTGAATGCCTCCCAGCACTCCTTTGTAGCTTACATTCTCATCTACTGTATTCCTAAGCAAGGCAAGTGATAGAGTTCAGGCCTTCATAAGGTCTTCTTTTAAAAGGTTATTGAAAGAAGCTCAGAGTGAGGATTGATCTGTATCCTCTGTGGCATAAACTTTTTTCATGATGGAAATTGAATGACATTACCCTTTAGCCAAGATGATCATCAGCTTTTCATTCACTTAATCTTAAAATCAAAGAGAAAAAGGTGATGTGACCTAAGTCAAACTTGAACATTTTTGTTGCCATTACTTTCCAGAAAACACTCCCTCTACTGATTTTAGACCATAATGTTCAATGCCATATTAAAGGAAAAGAAAACATTATTGTTTCATAGCACAGGTTTTTTGCTTCAAAATTCACCTTCAAAGGATGCATATGCACAACAGAAGAAAAGTAAGGCACTCATTGTCAATAATGATTGGGAAATTAAAAACCTGAGCTCTACTAATTTACTAATATTGCATATAGCTTTTTAGAAGTATGTTGAATTTTGTTATTTCTTGATTATTATTAGGAATATTACATATAGGAAATTATATTCCAATTCCATTGCATGTTCCCTAAATGTACCTAACAGGCATTGTATGAGTTTGGGTTTACTTGAAGTAAATTGAACATCATAGCTAGCCTTAAAAATAAATAAATAAATAAATAAATAAATAAATAAATAAATAAATAAAAACCTTCAGAGTTTTAGATTAAAAACATTTTCACAGTTTTTACTGGAATACTATGTTCTTTTGAGTTTAAATGCTTTTTAATAAATGAAACCAGATGTGCACCTACTTGCAAAATATATCTTCACTGTCTTTAGTGATAATGCAGTGTCCACCATGGCACCTTATACATTTGTCCGCTTCACATTTTGGTCCTTCATAGCGTGTTGGACAGACACATTCAACACTTCCATCATCCCCAATGGTACAGGATTCAGAATTCACACAATAGTGGTGACACACATCTTGGAGGAAAGCATACAGAAGAATAAAATTATATCACAAAATTCTTGACTTCAGTCATAATAAACATTAACACTTTATTTCAAATTAAAAAATAGTCAGTTGATAAGTAGATTAATTTTAAAAAGCAGATTGTAATTGTTTTAACCAGAATTTTCTAATTATGCTATCGATGCTCTTTTGCCTGTTAGGCATCATTTCATCTAGCTAAGAAGATATAGGTAAATTTTATATAAAGCTAGCCAATAAACCCTTTTGGATCTGAATGTCAAAACTCAAATGAAAAACGTTCCTTAGTAATGAACACTATTACCATTAGTTTAAAATTAGTAGAAATACTTCAAGATTTATTTAAATAGCATTTTCATTGCCTTTCCTACAATCTCTCTTCATCCAGACAATAATACAGTGTGTGCTAGCAGTGGAGTGGCAGACCCCTATCTCTGTACCAGCCCTTGACAGACTAGAAAGAAACCTCTCTGTACAGGTGCCAGAATAGGCCCAGGTACCAAACTGGTGGGTAGGTGAGCAGACAGATCCTCATGGAACTTCAGGAGGAAAGCAGACTAGAAAACTAGCTGATCCATCATTGGTGGGGAGTGCAAGCAGAAATCTACGCTATTATCTCACCTCCCCTCTAAGGTGAGAGTCTAAATTCTCCCTTTATCAGAGGGAAAAACCACCCCGTAATATGAGCTGCTTGTTTTGAAATATTTCTTATTAAGGATTACAGCCATTGAGTTGTTTCCAACTCATAATGGCCCTTCCTCGGGTTACCAGGCAATCTCTATAGAAGTACATTGCCCAATCTTCCTTCCAAGGAGTGGGTGGTGGGTTTGAATGACCAGGCTCTGGCTAGTAGTCATTTGACTTAGGCACTACACCACCAGAGCTCCTAAGGAATACAGAAAAATTTCCCAACTACAAGGGAAGACTCCCCTCAAGTATTTCCATACCTCTTGAATATTATCAATAAATTAAAGATAATTTAATAATATAATAATCACTCAATCTTTATAATTAGAATTTCTGCTTCATTCTTTTGAAAAGCAGAAAAGTCTATATGTGTATTCATATATGAATACATTTGTAATTTATCAGACTTCAAAAACTGAAATCCACAATAACAATAAACTTAAATAAAAGAATTTATTAAATTGATTCCAAACTTTGTGTTTAGATGTTGCAATTTCCTTTTAGCTATCTAACTGGGAAACAATGTTAAATGAGCTTCACTAAAATAGAGATCAAAATTTATAAACTTTAATCTGTTGAATCACAATTACAGTGAATGAGGAAAATTAAATCTTACATATAATCCTCATGTTTGTACATTTATCTAGTCCATTATTAAATAAGACATAAATTTATTGACAGGTTGCTTCATATTTATGGGAATCTATTTCAAGTATTCTTTTGCTTGCTGGTGCATTATGCCAAGAACTCAGGTTGAGCTTCAGTTCTTAAGCCTCTTAGTTTGGATTTCAGCTACATTTGAGGAAAGTAGCATTTTTAAAGCACAAAAGACTTGGAGATCTAAAAATTAAAGTGAGTGTTAGTGTCTTTGCAATATTGTCTGTAGTTCTAGGCTTGGCAAATACAAGGTATACAACACAAATTCTGTTTTTATTTATGAAGAGTATTATTTTGACTCCCCAAGTGTCAGTCAAGTTAAAAAATAAAAAATAAAAATAATGACAGACAGTTCTCTTAATATTGCCCCCAATTTCCTTATAAATTCATTCTTTGTTCTTAAAGAAAAACATCAAAGACTTCCGATGGGCCATAGAAGTTGGCTGATGTATCTTTTCAAGATCTTCTTAACATGTTCTTAGTCAGAGGTTCCCATAGCTGACAATTGATCAGAATAATGTAGAAATCATACTTGCAGATGCAAATTTCAATGTATTTCCTTACCACCTACTCCTAGATTCTAATTCATAGGTATGAAGTGATGCCCTGGTGATTCTCACAGGGCTGCTTGAGGAACTTATATGTTTTTAGGACAAAAGATGTAGGAAATGACAACTTGGGAGAGAATTTTACTGGTTGATAAAGAACCAGACCAAACCTAAACCCACTGATGTCAAGTGAATTCCAATTTATAGTGATCACCATTGGATTTCTGAGGCAATAAATCTTAAAGTTAGTAGATTGCCCGGTCATGCTTCCATGGAGTGTCTGGTGGGTTTGAACCACCAACCCTGTGGTTAGCAATCAGATGCCTTAGGCACTGTGCTACTTGTAAACTGATTTTCTTTAAATAAAATAGCTTATTTCTTGACTAACATTGGAAGTCTAATATAAGTATAACTTTAAAATTGTGAACCACTTGATTTTTACAACTGCGCTTCAGAGAAAACCTAGAAAAGTAGAAAAAAATATGCATTGATTGCTGAAAATTGATGGCTGCCCCGTACCACACTACAACCAAGGAGTAGTTTACATATATCTTGAGTACTAAAGGGTAAAGTATAAAATTACTTAAAATAGGTAAAGCACAAACAATTTTGAAATTAAAACATAAATTATGACTCTTTTAGATTATGACTAAAAAGATGTGAAAGTACAAATAAAAGAAGAAATCAAGGAAATGCAAATTAATACCTTAATGAAATACCATTACACAATCAACAAACTGAGCCCTAAAAATCAAACAACAGCAGAAAGTAACATGCATTGCTAGTGGGACTTTAAATTGGTACAACTAACTTGGAAAACACTTGGTCAATATCTTTTAAGTCTGAACACACCCATACCCTATGACTTACCAATTCCACTCTTAATGTATACTCAAGAGAGAACATACACATGTGCATCAATAATATTTACAAGAAAACGCACAGCAGCCTTATTGGAAATAGCAAAAAAGAGTAATAATCCAAGCCTCTATCTCAAGAAGCATTTTTAAACTGTGTTTCACTCATAAAATACAACCTCTATCAGTATCATTAGGGGAGCTCTGGTAGCATAGTGGCTAAGACATTTGCCTGCTAACCAGATGGCTGGCGGTTCAAACCCACCAGCCACTCCTCGGAAGGAAGGTTGGGCAATCCTACTTCCATAGTGATACTGCCTCGGAAACCCAAGGAGGGGTCGCTGTGAGTCGGGGCCGACTCGACGGCACATAACAACAACAACAACAACATCAGTATCATAAATACTTAGCACAAAAATGAACACACTGCAACTATAAACACAAAATGACTAAATCTCATAAAAAATATTTTTGAAAGGAAAAGCTGAACACACACACACACACACATACATATATGCTTTCTATATATATACATATATGTGTATATGTGTTGTTATATGCCGTCAAGTCGGACCCGACTCATAGTGACCCCTCCTTGGGTTTCTGAAGCAGTATATATAATATAACATAGGAGCTCTGGGAGCCTAGTGCCTAAGACAATTGACTGCTAACCAGAAGGCTGGCAGCTCAAACCCACCAGCCACTCCTCTGAAGGAACATGGGGCAATCTACTTCTGTAGTGATACTGCCTCGCAAACCCAAGGAGGGGTCACTATGAGTTGGGTCCGATTCGACGACACATAAAAATAAATAAATAAATAAATAAATAAATAAATAAATAAATATATATATACACACACACATATATACACACACCCACACATATATAGCATGTGTGTGTGTGTTGTATGTGTGTATAGAGCTCTGGTGGCATGGTGCCTAAAGAATTTGACTGCTAAACAGAAGGCTGGTGGTTTAAACCCACCAGCAACTTCTGGAAGGAAGATTGGACAATCTACTTCCTTAGTGATACAGCCTTGGAAACCCAGGTAGGGGTCAGTATGATTTGGATCCGACTTGACAACAATGAGTTTCTTTTTTGTGTGTGTGTATATATATACACACATATATACACACACATATATACACACACATATACACATGTATATGTTTATATATACACACACATATATACAGATATATATGTGTGTGTGTATGTGTATGTGTATATATATATATATATATATGTATATATATATATATATATATACACACATGATGCTTCTGTCCTGGAGGAAGTGCAGCTGTAAAGCTCCTTGGAAGTGAGAATGGCTAGACTTTATCTCAATTACTTTGGTCATGTTGTCAGAAAGGACCATTCTCTGGAGAAGGATATCATGTTTGGTAAAGCGGAGGGACAACGAAAAAGGGGAGGCCCTCAACAAGAGGGACTGACACAGTGGCTACGACATGGGCTCAGGTGTAACATAGATCATGAGGATGGCACTGGGCTGTTCAGTGTTTCACTCTGTTGTGCATAAGTTCACCATGAGTCGAAGATGGCTCAATGGCACCTAACAGCAACATACATATAGTCAGCTCTTCATATCTGCAGGTTGCACATCTGTGGAATCAATCAAAACTGGATTGACAATATTAAAAAAAAAACAGCTGCCATCAAGTTGGATCCAACTCATAACAGTCCCACCCTTGGTTTCTGAGGCATTATCACTATGGAAGTAGATTGCTCAACTTTGCTTCTGAGGAGTAACTAGTGGGTTTGAACTGTCAGCCTTCTGGTTAGCAGTCAAATGCCTTAGGCACTACACCACCAGAGTTTCCATTTAAAAAATACATGTATATATATAATATATATAAATATATATATATATATGTGTGTGTGTGTGTGTGTGTGTGTGTGTGTGTATGTGTGTGTGTGTCTAAAAGCAATCCATCGAAGGGCAAGAGAATATAAGTGTTATTTATCAGAATTTACAATTTATTAGGTATTATAAGTAGTCTAGAAATGATTTAAAGTCTATACCAAGATCTTAATTGAAAGCAGAAAATAACAGATAGATGTTTACCCATTTTTTATTGACAATGAAAAAGCATTTGACTGTGTAGATCATAACAAATTATGGATGACATTGCAAAGAATGAAAATTGTAGAACACTTAATTGTATATAGAAACCTGTACATAGATCAAGAGGCAGTTGTTTGAACCGAACCAAAGGATACTG